AGAACATGGAGAAATCACACTTTTATTGATAACAACTCCTGCAGTATCAAATTGCTCGATAGGCATTACTTAGAAGTTGACGGATGACAAAGTAGAGATAATCTATGGACAACAAACTTCTTTATTTACTGTGAAGGCGACGTTTCGGTATAGACCCTTATACCGTTGTCAAGCAAAGTTATACCGTTGTCAAGCAAGGACAACGGTATAAGGATCTATACCGAAACGTCGCCTTTACAGTAAATACAGAAGTTTGTTATCCATAAATTATCTCTATTTTGTTTTGCAGTATTGTTCGTAACGAACTATTCACCGAACCTGACCCCCTAGAACCCCCCACCCCACCCACACACACACACCCCTCGATCAGTCTATGCCTTCATGAAGTTACTGTAATAAATGTTTATACTATTTCTTAACGTTGTCAATTATAAGGACAAATTCAGTCATTGCAGCTAAGAACGAATAAGTGTTATCATTTGCCAAATATTATTTTTAAAGTTGAAAGAATCTTTATATATCAGATATGTACGTTTCTCTGCTCTCGGTCTCATATCATCCATTAACCTGATGAAGGAGTAAGCATATACTCCGAAACGTTGTGTTCCTCATAATAAAGAAGTTGACATCCATTATTTCTCTTCCTTATGTGTATGACTGCTAAAATGCCTTTCAAAGACTTATATCGGAGAGGTTCAATACTTTGACACCAGGAATAAGTGACTGCTGTTATAGGCCTACGGTTCACTGTAAAGCCTAGCTTACATGCACTACTTTGCCCCGAGGGGTAAATATACCCCCTAGGGGTACGAAATGTGATCCACCTATGGAGAGGGATATTTAACCCACAGTACCCTCAGGGTCACAGTGACATTTTGCCCCCTGGGATAAATGTGTGCATGTGAACTAGGCTTAGAATAAGAGTTATCATTTGAAGTAGCGCTCGTGTTCATATGCCCTTGTAGAAACCTTCAAGGGGAAACGTCTTATCCTGGAATGACACGAGTTCCTCAAGAACAAGTCAAGAATGTCGTGGCGCATGCCGGCAACAGGCGAAAACCTATAGAACACGTTGCTGGGTCATAAACAGTTAAATTACTGGAAACTTTTTAAAATATATAAAGGAATGTGTTACTTACAACATTATCTTTTCAGAATGTTGGATCCGCGTACCAAATACGATTTTTCATATTTTCCTTAAGTCCTATGGCCGTTTCAGAGCGCCAGGCACCGTTATTAATTTGTTTTGTGTGTTTGTTGTTTAACGCCGAACTCAGCAATATCCCAACTATATGACGGCAGTCTGTAATAATCGAATTTGGACCATACAATCCAGTGATTCACATCATTAGCATCGATCTACGCAGTTGGGATACGATGACATGCATCGACCAAGTCAGCGAGTCTGACCACTCGATCCCGTTAGTTGCCTCTAACAACAAGCATAGTCTCCTTTTACGGCGAGCATTTGTTGATGAATACCTGTTCTACCCCGGATCTTCACGGGTCTGTTTTTTTGGAAAGAGGCAAACAAACTTTTAAAAGAAAATCTATCTTTGTATCACTTATGTATAATGATATGCGTACATACGAAATACATAACTATTTTGAAAATAGTTTGTAAAACATTCCTTACAGTAAATGATTACACTAAACATGTTGTGTTATTCGGCACAATCATAAGAGGGAGAAACGCTCTTGGACGAGACGTTAAACCCCATTTCACCTCACCTCACTTGTAGTCAGAAGTTACGGCAGTTTCACAAAGCAAGCGATGTCCAACCTTAATTCGGTGTTTCAACCATAGCGTTGCAACCTAGCTTTTCTAATAGCATGCCTACGTGTTGTTTAAAATCCACGTGTAAGCGCTGTATTGAATTAATCCCAGGTACAGCCATATAGCACAACAAATTCAGGATAAATAAGTCCCTGTCCCTCTCAACCACCACCAATGAACCCAGTGGGAAGTGTCCCCTCCAAAACAAGGTATGACGCTTCACAGGAAGATTTAAAAATAAAATATAATTTTATTCTAAGGTTTCACTCAAAGCATTGTTTTCCACGTAACCTTTCATAAATTGGCTAGTTTTGCCAAAACACATGCCTCTGAAATTATGAGCGGATGATGTATTAAATTAGCGTACTCGGGTATTTCGGAATTGATACTGAACACTTTTCGTTGACTGGCCTTTGGTGACATTGCAGGTTAAACAAATCACATACTGTGTCAGAAGGTATATCAAACAAAAGAAGTCATTATTATGTCTTCTTTAAGTAATATTCCAAACTGTATGTGTAGAATCTCGAACGCCATGAAATTATCAACTTTGTCAGGTCACATGCATGATGAAATAAATATGTCATTGGCGGGGATCGACTCCTCTTGACAACCACCCCACCCTAAACCCACCTCCCCACTGTGAAATTCCTTACAATATGGGCGTTACGATCGTCTTACAGCTAAGATCGTGGAACGTGTTTATAGGACCTGGGACACGTTCCACAAAGCGATCTTAGTGCTACGACTGCCGTAAGCCAGTGTTAAAGAATGGGAGTTACGACCGACTTAGCGCTAAGATATAGCTTTGTGGAACGGGGCCCTGGTCATTCTGTTTCTCCATGACGGTCTCATGGCATCACAGGAAATAGAGCTATTCAAAATCAATAGGAGTGATTTGACTGTTGTTGTTGTTGTGACGACACAGTGGACAAGTTGACTCGAAAATTGTGTTACTAATCAACGATGTTTCACGGGGACATTGGACCAACCTCTCGTTACAAGCTGGTCAAGGGGCGTGTTCTCCATACTCGATATTCCCCATCGATATGACCAATGAGCTTGTCTGATGTTTGGAAGAACACTTGGTCTTTTGGGGTCATTGTACGTAAGCTTCAGTCACTCAACGCACTGGGGTAGGGGTGAGAATCTAAAAGGGGCGACAGTGAGAGGGCTGTACTGAACTCACGATATATATGTTTTGTTTGTTGTTAGGCACGGCAGACAGCAATGTTCCAGCAAAATACGGAGGTCTGTAAATATTCGAGCCGGGACCAGACAAGCTATCAATTCATGTTACGAGCAAGGTCTCTCAACATCGGGGCCAGATGACACGCATTTAATCAAGCTACAGAGCCTAACCACTCCATACCTTCAACCGCCTCTTGCGCGAGCAAAGATCACTGGGGACATATTCTAACCCGGAATACCCACGTGTTTAAATAATAGACAAGGTCAAGGTATGATTAAGGCCCCATATGGCGCATAAGAGTAGAAATACAATCTCTCGTGAAGTTATCGTTAGTCTATCTAAATTAGTGGCGGCAATATTTCATAAAATTAAAAATGCTTTTCTTACACTGCAAAAGTTGCACCATCAAAGTTAAAACAGACATATGTTGAAAAGGCCGAGTTTTTTTCAAATTAGGAAAAAAATAAAAATATATATGACAAAGTCAGTAACAAAGATGCAATGTATAGTATATATATACTACTAAAGAAGAAACACATAGCTGAAAGATGTTATCCTTATCAACAAAAGGTTTCACAATATGCACATTGTTTGATTTCATAACCGCCCGAATACACCGTGTTTACGGCACAATGCAAAAAAAGGAAGAAATTTTATAGAAACTATAAAAATGAAAGTCTCGTGAATCTTAAAAAAATATTTGAAGTACGTGCTGCGCGCACACTAGTGGCTATGAAAGTGCAGGGCTCTAGTTTCTTCATCAGCTCAATTGATATCCAAGCTCAGAACATTCCTATTGTTCAGTGGTAATTTTAATCCAGCAGATCTAAACCTGATAGGCATGTATACGTAACATTAGCAAATAACCCTGATCCTCAGATCCACGTATTGCTGGCCATGCAACGGGAGTGTAATAACATACATCTCCGACAGATCGTGCGGGGTCTTCTTGATTTCCTGGTTCGGCGGTTGCAGGTCGTCATTGATGATTGTATCCATGGTCACGATATGGAAGTGCTGTATCCTTGACCTTTTCAACCCTTTTACATTGCTATTTTTCTAATATTAAATGAATTCTACACAATGAATTCAGCCATGCGTTTCTCTCTCTTTTTTTAGCAGTATATGTCTCTTCTTAACAACTCTATAGGGCTCTCATACAGCTTGTTGAAAGACAAGCTCATGATAAACAATTTCCGGGAGGAATCTTTAACTGTCCTGTGAACACAAGGCCCAAGAGTCAGAATTGATCCTTGAAAGACATGGTTCACAAAGCTGAAAGAAAAACGACTGTACTATAAATAATCAATCATCTGTAAAAGTTAAACTGCTGTTAAACAGTTATGGTTATAGATATAACATTTGATATATTGTTAAATTAAACATAATTATCATGTAAATATGGTTAGGCGACATTTATCATTCAACTATATTTCATTTACAAATATTTAGAATTGGATTCAAGTCACATTTCAATACTGTTCAATACTCCCCTTACATATTATAACAATCAGATTATGACTTATAGTGCACAATGAAACATATACGGAAGCTTTCAAATCGAATAAACGCTCAAAAAATGTTAAAATTTACAATTTTCAAATTTAAAATTTCGTGGATTTCTTAATGCATGATTATTCATGCGATATTTAGTTTTCACATTTCCATAAACTATTTTTGTTTGAAGTTTGGATAGTTTTCAAATTGCGTCATAATTCCCCCCTTCGTATTTTACCAGAAGTATTCAACGAAATGGTGGAAAGAATTTGAAGCAGTTTCAGCCATCTTGTGATTTAAATGCCGCTTCGTGATATCTGGATTTGATAACAAAGCCTCATTTGTTTTCGCTTTCTCATTAACCAGTAACTCCTATTTGTATCCCCATGTTGCAGGCATTTGTAAACAACGGCATTAATTATGGAAGAAATTCACAGCCGAAGGTCACCAGAGAGCTCCTTGCACTTTCTCCGCGCACCTGACAGCCTCCTCGTTTGTCGTCATACCAACACCACGCTACGCATGCGCGATCATGCTCGAGTAATGGCGGGTGTTTGAGTGAGTTGTTTCAGCGAGTCGACAGAAAACCAGCCGGGAGTTGACAGTGGGGTTTACTAACATCATACAGAGGAATTGCAGTCAGGTAGAATTAACAGAAAGCTTATCACCATTCGAGTTATTGTTCCATCATATTTGTCAGTGAGTTATAAGTTTACAACTGAGTTCCAAAGCAAGTCAATTCATGAGAGGCCTGTCACCGTCACCAAGAATCGATTGCTAGTAAATTAGGCCCAGTCGAACCGTAACAGATCAACAATCAATAAACATATAGGTGTCACAGGGTACACTACCACCACTTAGTGTCCACTAAACCTGGTCATTAAAATAGCAGTTTATCATCATTCGCTAATTTGATACTACAGTGATGTTTTTACTACATAAGTAGATTAAATATTTTACACAATACGTCAACTCACTGAAATGTTAAAAAATATGTGTTCTCCTTGGGTGCTTGAGTCTTTCTGCTATAGATATTTAATCTCAGAACTCTCTAAATCATTAACATTATCCCAAACAAGGACCTTGTGACTTAAAAGTCTTGCTTTTAATAATTTCAAATATTTAAATGTCAATGGAGTAGTCCTATAGGACTTTGTACCATATGTGATACAAGACTCATACAACAGGTTGTTGCTATAAGTGGTCTGTACATACCAGACCTTGTGGATCCTAGTGTACTGTGTTTTGGAGCCCCTAAGAAGTATTTCTCGTTGCATGTCTATTAACAATCGCAATACACTAAAATTAAATATCTTACCTTTGAGAACATTTATTTCAGGATAGTCAAATCACCACATCTGTGATAGAAACTAACAGTTTTAGTCAACTAGTCTTTATAATGATAAGATTTAGCAAAACTCTTAAAAAGGTCAAATTTCTACTAGTCCTTATGATGCCCTAACCATTGGACAGTTTGGCAAGGACTATAGGACTAGTGCCAATTTGTAACGCTGCCACATCTTGGCAATGTAATCGTGATAATGCCTCACCAGCCGAGACGAGTCAATCAGGTGCAATCTTGTTACCGTCACCTGATTTCGAGCCCCTCCATGACAGTCAAGTTAAAAATAAATGCACAACATGATCAGTCACATGACATTACACACAGGAAGTTTACAAACATCAGCCGATACATTATCGGTGATGCAATTGTTCTCATCAAAATTATCAACAGATCAATTTGATTAAAATGTGCATTAGTGAAAAAGCAAGTTTTGAAGTATGTTTTTATAACTTATTGAATATCTTACCTTGTGTAGCTTAATTCGTAAAATAACTTCAGCGGCAAGTGGCAAACTCTTTGATGTCTTCAGTGAGGCAGAGCTTTGAAGCGTCTACCTTGATTACGTCATTAAGTGCATGGTTACGTATTGTATGGGGCTCGAAAATGTAATGTTGGGGATATTTATTGGTCTTCTTTCAACCAGAATTTGTTATCCATAAAATTGTATGTCTTCTAAATACAGACCTACAGCTAAGCCGTATACTGGTATGCAAGCTGAAAAGGCTACACTGGGTTTGTTACGCACAATGTTATGGTATTGGGGTTTTTAAAACTTTCATTTGAGCATTCGTGGGCATGCAACTAAAATACATTTGGGTTGTGGTGATTTATTTTGCACAAATATACAGCTCACCTACACAAGGCTGGAGCTTTTCTATAGGACCTCTTTTATTGTGTGACATACAGTTAGTATATATATCACTGACACAAATGGGAATGGCTTTATCTAGGAGTGCTAGCCCAGGTCAGGGCTTCACTCACAGCTTTACAAAGTCAGACAAACTCACATGGCAACAACACCTGGATAGAATGAGAGACAGTGGTAAATTTAGGTATGCATGTGCAAAGGAAAACCTTAATGGCAGCTATTTGCTACTTGTCTTAGCTTCTCCTTCCAACACTGGGACCTCGGCATGTGACTATGGAAGTTCAGGGATTTATCTAGGATTCTAAACTTAATGCCCCAACAGGCAAATTGGAAAAGTATCATTTTCTTCCAAATTGTTATTTGTTTTAAGTTCTTACTTTCTTTAATTCAGAAGTATTTTAACATTGTATGTTGAGATTGCATTCAATGCAATAATATAGAACGAAGCAGTAAAATGTCTTTCTCTTTATTGGTCCTGTATTTTAGTGAAATACAGCTTTCCTCTGCATTGTACCGTATTCGACGTAATAAGCGCCCACGGCAATATTTGCTAATATATTGGCAAGTGAACAATCACAATCTGCACCCCTTCCGATTGATCAATGTGCACAAGACTTATTTATTCGTGTATAATACGTGTGTTATATGCAGCCTTAATTATGGGAAATTAAATTCTGGAAAAATATATCTGTCGTATATAAACATTTCAGGCTGTCAGCATAAACCACGAAATTTACAATCTTTCAAAATAATATTCTAACAAGAGCCCCCTATTTCTAATTTTGAGAGCGCCCTGGGCGCTTATTATGTCAAATATGGTAATTAATTAGTTATTAGTTACATAATTATGATGACATGAATTGGGAAATTTTATTCCAGTTTGGGAAGTTTAACTGATGTTTGCTACAGGCATGCGAATGGATATCAGCCTCTGATAGGTGTAGATAAATCCCAGAATTCAGTATAAGGACCACCGAGGAAGACACTGTTCCTACTGCATGAACACAAATGTACTAAGATTTACATGTCAGTCAAGTCCATCTGTGGAACTGTAAATTCCATAAAATCCTGTTGATATAGTGTCTGAGGAAATGAAATAGCATGAATTACAAAGTACTACATCAGAATGTCTACGTTCTCATTAAATTAATTTAAGGTTAAATCTCCCATTTGCATATTACTGGAGATAAATGTTGCATATTACTGGAGATAAATGTTGCATATTACTGGAGATAAATGTTGCATATTACTGGAGATAAATGTTGCATATTACTGGAGATAAATGTTGCATATTACTGGAGATAAATGTTAATTACTCATGTTAATGTAAAGGAATATAGCAGTCATTTTTCATTAATGTGTCAGTGTTTATTTATTCTGCTGTCAATAAAGTATCCTCATGGTTGTGTGGCTAGGGACTGATAGTGGTTTAAAATTATAATATAAACAGTTTGAGAAAAGCATGATAAGCTGCGTATTTGCGTAAAATATGCATTAAAAAAACTCAAATACACTGACAAATCAAATCCTAGCGTTTCAAATATGCACAAAAACTATAAATACCCTTTACAGCGATAGAAACTAACAGTTTTAGTTCACTAGTCCTTATTATGATAACATATAGCAAACCCCTTAAAAATGGCAATTTTCTACTAGTCCTTATGATACCTATACTATTTGGCAGTTTGGCAAGGACTATAGGACTTGTGCCAATTTCTAATGCTGCTTAAGCCAAAAAAGCTTATCTATAGCTCTAAGAAATATGGGCGAAATATAAGTGAATTTTGATCATTGGCAATTTGAACGACATTTTACACTTGATCTGTGTCCATTTTGAGAAATTAGTTCAGGCCAGCCACCCGCACACACACGCACACACACACGCACACACACGCACGCACGCACACACACACACGCACGCACGCGCGCACACATGCACACACACACAAAGTCGGGGTCTTGTGTGGACTAGGCCACGTGTGACAAACGTACGGCGACTCATATGCTTCGGGTGCTATCGTCCATGACACATTCCATGATCTGATCTCAACAGCCGCCATCCAAGATTCATAATGAACTATGACGACGTTTTAGTACACCTAGGAGAATTTGGAACCTATCAGAAACATCCTTCTATGTACTCTACCGGTATTCTTCGCAATGCCGATGATGATCTCTGTATTTCTTGTCAATGCACCAGACCAGAGGTGTATGTTCAAACACACACACACGCACACACATGCACATACACACATGCACATACACACGCACACACGCACACGCACGCACACACGCACACACACACACACACCCGCACACATATGCACACACACACACACACATGCCTAACCATCTTACAAGTACCATGTGGCGCGCACACGCACGCACGCATGCACGCACACACACACACACACACACACACACACACACATGCACATACACACACACACCCGCACACATATGCACACACACACACACATGCACATACACACACACACACACCCGCACACATATGCACACACACACACACGCGCACATACACACGCACACACACCCGCACACATATGCACACACCTAACCATCTTACAAGTACCATGTGGCACGCTTGAAACAAATACACACATGACATATATTTTGTCATACATTTTATATCGTCAGGTGATTGTATCGTTCCAGAGTTCTTTTTAGGATGACATGACTCTCTCTTAAAACATTGATTGAAGGACTGAAACCCAGTCTGTTCTATAGAATTGCTTCGGCCAGGAATCCACTTGTCACGTCATGAATAAGTCATGTCTTCGATGGTGTCTGGTACAGTCGGATGTGATTGATGAGGTAATGGTAATTGTCTCCTAGGAGAATAATTATAGTTTGTTACCTAACAAAACAGATGATATGAGGATGTAGCATGCAAGGTAGGCAGCAGGAGATTACATAACGTCGTGTGCATGTCTGCAGGTAATCGAGGAGCAATGTACGACTAAATGAGACTGGCAGGTGATAAAACAGATTATTTATGTATGATGCTATAGTCAAGAGGCATGGAGAGAAATCTGAGGTTTGAATTGTTTGTTTGGCTTTTAATTGCCATTATATGTACAGTTAATAATTAGATTTTTTTTTTTTATAGCAGTAAATTCTGTATTTATTGTATTGAGCACCCTGCTCCCTTAAGCCTGTAGACAATCTCTATTAGCACCCTCTACTTTATGCAAAAATGTACAGAGCTAGTTTCCGAAACACAATTATGAGCTAATTTACTTTCCGAGTCAAGCCTGTATATTTAGAACAGTTATATACATCTAAAACATTATTTCAGTTTTTTTTAATCTTAAAATGTTTACTAATTTTGAGAAAAACCCAATAGAGTGATGAATAAATCAGTGAAAAAATATTGGTTACCCAATGAAAAATGTAATAACCCAATTAAAATAGAAACCCTAGAGTAAAAACTCAATTGCTCAAAACGTTATCTGGAGCTCTGTAAGAGTCCATTTTTTGTAGATATTACAATTTTGTTACAGAAAACAGCAGCGTAGAGGGGGTATATAATCGCCGAGTGACTATTATCGATAGTTTATGTTTAAGTTTCAACAGTATTTGAACCAAGTTTGTTCACTACCGCTCAATTAAAACAAATTTAACTGCTTGGGTATGGTTTTAATAAGTGCCACTTTGTCAATTTTCTAAGCACCTGGGGCACCCCATTTCATATTAGAGCCGGAACAAATAACAGAGTGGATCTTTGATGGAGTATTGCTGTGTGTGTCATCAACAACAAACTGACAAACAAACCGACTGTGAAACATACTGGCCACTGCACGCTCACTTCTGCCAGTTTCCAGCATCCCAATAGCCCATAGAAGCTCCACGTGTTGCAGACTTCATAACTAGTTCGTGCACAAACAATGACTGACATCAAGTAAATCACAACTGAATGATAAACAGAGTCAATAAGATGGCCAAAAATAATGGTCCACTGAGATTAATAGATATTTAAATCAGGAATGACAGGCTATGCACGTGTGTGGCACTACTGCAAGTGACACGTGCAAACTATGTGTTTTTGCATTATATTTTACAGACATAAACATTTTTGCAAAGGATGTTTGTCGTCAACACTTATCTTTGTTCTAATAGTTGGTAGCTAAGTCACACAAGGTGCCCAAGTTGCTCTGAAAACCTATGATCGTGGGTTCGAATCAGAATCGCCCTGATCATATTTCTAGTTATGTCATCACCGTACCCGTGCTTGTGGGTTTCACCAAAGTGGTAAACGTCTAAGACCTGCATCACTTTGGGCTTTCCTCCCACATCAGTCTGACGCTCCGTGATATAACTCGGAATCAAACTCACTCACTCACTCACTCACTTACTTCAACACAGGATGACCACCCCGAGGAACAAGACAAAGAAAGTTCCGACTAAGCTTGCGATCACAAGCGATGACAGCAAAATCCTGGGTCGGACCACCTCGCTGAGGAGAGAGAAGACGACCAATGACAAAGTGGGTACGCTGAAGATGAGGACGTACAGCAGTGCCTGGACCCCCGTCGTACACAAGCCCTCCAATGAACAGGTGGGATATGGAGCTATAGATACGGTTTGGGCTATTTGGGTATTTTACCCAAGGGTTTGATTTTGATTTGGTGTCCAAAAGTCTTAGAGGGTGTTCAAATTTTTTTACCCACCTGTTTTGTCACATTTGGGTATTTAACTTAAAACCTGTTTCGTAACAATCGCTGTAAATCGTTTAAAACTATGTTAATAGTAATATACCTGTTTGCATCTGTTTTCCCTCTCCAGGAAGCCATTTTTTGTTAATATATTTGTTTCTTTAATCACCAATTAGCGACTAATTAAGATGCAACATGTACATTGACTAGGCAAGATGTGCTTTTCAATTGGCATCTGTCAGTATGTTTGTTGCAGAAGCTTTTCCGAATGTAACTGTCGGCAAGTGAATTTGGCGATCGGCTGATACACAATCATTTTATGTAACAGTTGAAATATACGCAATCGTTTTATCTAATAGTTATAATATATGCTTTAATTTTATTTCAATAGCAAATTTATAGTTCTCGTGCGTATTTGATACGCAAGGATTTGATTTGTCGGTGTATTTCAGTTTATTTTCTGCATACTTTACACAGATACGCAGCTTATATCGAGCTCTATGGGATAGGCGACCATGTCATACGTTCTGCATCTTCATCTACCATCACCAGCTGATGAAGCAGAAATGCCAGAAACCTATGGTTGTGGGTTCGAATCACGGTTCGCCCCGATTATGTTTCTAGGTTTGTCAGCACCATACCCGTGCTTGTGGGTTTCACCGAAGTGGTAAATGTCTGAGACCTGCATCATTTCGGGCTTTCCTCCCACATCAAGCTGACACGCCGTGATATAACAGGAATAATGTTAAAAGCGGCGTTAAACCCAACTCACTCACTCACTCACTCTTGTCACGTTGATTCACCATCTTTATTGCTTCATGCTCCTGTCATCTATTTCAGATTTTCAAAGAGAGAAGAGATCTTGTTTCACACTGGGTAAGGAAGTATTAATATGGTTTACTCTTTACATCCAAGACGGCCTCCGTGGTCTAGTGGTAGAGCGTCCGCCCGGAGAGTGGAAGGTCCGAGGTTTGATCCCCGGCCGTTGCATACCAAAAGACGTTAAAAGATGGTACTTGTTGTTACCCTCGGCATTAAGGGGCTAAAACAAGGACTGGTCGGCTCGGAGTCAGTATACTGTATCTGAGTGGGGTATTAATGTTAAACTTCCACTGGTATCTCAGTGGGCTAGCACTATAAATCGGCAACAGTCTGGACTAGTTCAAGCAGCCACACACACACATGCATGCACGTCGCTATGTTCAGTGCAATAATCTTGGATGCAACGTAAAACCCCATTTCACCTCACCTCACCTCACCTCATCTCACCTTTACATCCAGTATGCATGATGAGTACTTTACTTGCTTGTTGTTAGACATGGTATCGTTGTATTGTTTATGCTGCATTGAAGTCGGAATTGGTTCAGCCACTTGTCAACAGGGTCAAAACTTGTGTCAAGTAGTAAACTTCTCCAGTACCTTGTGGTATCTTTCCAAAGACAGCCCTTTTTATTATGAGAATCTGTAATACCCATTTCTGTAGATGACAATAACTTCATACATGCAGACAATGTTGAGAACAAGGTATTCAGATAGCCAGGTCCCTGTGTATTAGAGCTGGTCTTCAGCAACCCATGCTTGTCGTAAAAGGCGACTAGCGGGATTGAGTGGTCAGTCTTGCTGACTTGGTTGATGCATGTCATCATATCCCAAATGCGTAGATTGATGTGCATGATGTCAATTACTTGATGGGGCGGTCGGGTAGCCTAGTGGTTAAAGCGTTCGCTCGTCACGCCGAAGACCCGGGTTTGATTCCCGACATGGGTACAATGTGTGAAGCCCATTTGTGGTGTCCCCCGCCGTGATATTGCTGGAATATTATTAAAAGCGGCGTAAAACCATACTCACTCACTCCCTCAATTACTTGATTGTGCTGTCAAGATTTGATTATTTACTGGGAGCACTTGTGGCTTAGTTGTCTAAGGTGCTGCTATTTCGCTATGCAGAGTTGCCTCCCTCAGCCATGCAAGAAACCTATGATTGTGGGTTCGAATCCGTTAGCCCTGTGCTCGTGTGTTTCACCAAAGTGTTTAACGTCTGAGGTTCCAAATAAAGCTGATATGCCGTGACATAACTGGAATACTATTAAAAGCTGCTTTAATCCCAACTCATGCACTAATGATTTTTTACCAACTGCCGTCATATTGCTGGAATATTGCTGAGTGCGGCATTAAACAATTATTTTTAAAATGTAATCAGATAGCCAGGATCAATGTATTCATGAGATATACAGATGGCTGGTTTACTGTGCTATTCTGCAACCTTGATAATGTCTTGAATGACTTCCTCTTTGTAATCACCCAGAATGCATTATGAATTTGTCTTGACCCACTGTGTATTGCCATAACTGAGCCTATGCTGCTTAAAGAAGAGGTGATTGTGACTTTGCTCTTGTTGAAAATCGTCAAGAATCGATGCTTTTTGACATTTCAGTATGATCTGTGGACTGACTCGCAGAGGAAGCGATTTCTCGACATCATCTTCCATCAGTGTAAACGGCCACAGAAGAAGTTTGTCCAGGACTGGTTCCGCGAGTATGTTCCCTTGCAGCACCTTGACTTCACCTCCGTCCTTCCCAGAATCCTGTCTGTGTACATCTTCTCCTTCCTGGAACCCAAGAGTCTTTCCCGTGCGGCCCAGGTGTCCTGGCATTGGAAGTTCCTCAGTGAACAGGTCTGTTGGTGTCCAGTGCTTCATGTAACAAAGTGATTGTAGCTATGACTGTCGTAAGGCTAGTAGTTCCACTCTGAGCAGGTCTGTTGGTGTCCAGTGCTTCATGTTAAAAAGTCATCGTAGCTATGACTGTTCTTCAATGAGCAGGCCTGTTGGTGTCACATATATCTCATTTAACAAAGTGATCGTAGCTACGACTGTCTTAAGGCTAGTAGTTCCACACTGAGCAGGTCTGTTGGTGTCCCATGCCTTACGTAACAAAGTCATCGTAGCTACAACTGTCGTAAGGCTAGTAGTTCCACACTGAGCAGGTCTGTTGGTGTCCCATGCCTCATGTAACAAGTAATCGTAGCTACGACTGTCATAAGGCTACTAGTTCTTCACTGAGCAGGTCTGTTGGTGTCCCATGCCTTATTTAACAAAGTGATCGTAGGTACGGCTGTCATAAATCTATCAGTTCCTCAATGAGCACTGAGCAGGTCTGTTGGTGTCCAGTGCGGATATAACAAAGAGATCGTAGCTACGACTGTCGTAAGGCTAGAAGTTGTTCAATGAGCAGATCTGTTGGTGTCCTGTGCCGCATGTTAACAAAGTGATTTTAACTCTCTCTGTTAAAAGTTGACCCAGGAGGCTCCTTGATATCTAACACTGACCAGTGAATGTTATTTTGCCAGGACGAGGTCTGGGCAGGCAAGTGTCTCAAGTACGGCTGGTTCCTGCCCTACACAGCGGCTGACAACGAGTATGGGGCGTGGAAGAAACACTACATCGCCTGTGTCCAGACGCTTGACTACGTCTCAGGGAGTGGAATGGTGAGGGAATAGTAATTGACAATTTGTTTCATATTGTGTGCAATGCCATGGCAACCTAATCTTTAACTTGAAATCAAAACTTAACCATAATCCAAATTTTGAACGAAATAATGATAAACCCCGAAGAGTGTAGACTAATCCCACGATTCTCTCTGGCAGGATGACCTCTACGGCACAAGGTCAGATGGTTCCCGCTGGCAGAACAAGAAGAAGAATATCCGAACGAAGCCTAACCGACTTGACTCTTCAGACAGTCGTAAGTCACTACGTGCAACTGTCACCTCAGTTGTTGGATGCAAGGCTCTATTAATGTGTGACATGGGGCAGTTGCCCATCTCCTGAGGCAAGCATGTCCACTGGCCTATGTCAAAGTCTAATTTTCACCCTTGCCGTTTCAAGCCAACTTTTCTTGGGTCAATAGTGGTGCCACCCTGTGTAGGGCATGAGTTGCGTCCCTTGTGATGGAACACAATATCCAATGGGATCGCTGTTCTTATTTCAAATGGCTTCACAAAGAGGACAACTACCATAGTTAAGACCTGGGCCCTCTTGCACAAAGCGATCTTAGTGCTACGAATGTTGTAAGCCAATGTTAAAGTATGTGAGTTACGATCATCTTATCGCTAAGATCATTTTGTGCAAGTGGGCCCTGGTCGATCAGATAACGAAAAGAATTGAGATTATGTTCCTGACTGCAAACAAAATAACGAATTACCGCTCTAAAGATATTTATTTTACTGCCTTATTTCGTTCTTACAATGATACAAGCACAGTGAGTGAGTGAGTATGGTTTTACACTGATTTTAGCAATATTCCAGCAATATCACGGAGGCGGACATCAGAAATGGGCTCGAACCTAGGTCTGCGGCGTGACAAGCGAACTCTTTAACCACTAGGCTACCCGACTGCCCCACTGACTAGTGAGTCTACACAGTATCAGGGGCGGTCGGGTAGCCTAGTGGTTAAAGCGTTCACTCGTCACGCAGTTTGATTCCCGACATGGGTACAATGTGTGAAGCCCATTTTTGGTGTCCTCCACCGTGATATTGCTGGAATATTGCTAAAAGCGGCATAAAACCATACTCACTCACTCTCACTCACTCACTCACTCACTCACTCACTCACTCACAATATCAAGCAACACTGCACATTGAGGCAACATGAAGCGCTCAATAAGAGGTCATCTGAAAAAGATAGCGGCATCTCAGTCATTCCGTCATTCAGTCATTCAGTCTTTAAAAATACAATGAAGTTTGTACTCAAATATATAAAAGTACTTAGACTAGTTGATTGCAAACTAAGAGCATCTTTGAAAATATTTGCCTTTGCTTAATTTTTGGAAATTGCTTATTCGCAGGCTGTGGCCATGTTTTTTTCGCAACCCAGATGTTGATTCTGTTAAAGGTTCTCTGATTGGGATAGCGATATGTGCTATGTTTTAGTACATAAAGGTCTGCTTGAAAGGATGATGTAATAGGTATTCTTTGTGATCCATACTACCCATCACGTAGTCTGAAGTCTGGATTATTGAATGAACGGTCAGATATATAAATTTTGGGCCCCAGTGCTTATTGCACAATGTATCGCAAGACAGCTCTCTGTATAGTGATATATTGTGATTTATGTGCCAATACACCAACCCTAAAAACTAGGCCTTGGTATGGGTTAGTGGACACTACTGTCTCAGGGAGATGAAGGACAGATGAGATGTGAACTCCTGAACCGGACAGCATCCTGAAACAAGACATTAATTGGCTTGGCCTATATAGTAAGTCTTGAACCTCTGAACTTTGGGTAATTTTTTAAACTTGCTTGTTAGGATCCAACTGTCAGGAACAATTGAATGGTTTTGTAGGTCGGTTGATGGATGTGCGACCGCCATGGCAGGGACCAGATTACAATCCCCAGGATCTACACAAGTCACACATTGCCATGGTAACCGAGAAGAATCCCAATGACCCTGACCTTCCCAAGTCATCATTAGTCCTCCATAACCGGTGGGGCATCATTCGCAAACAACATGAAAATTCTGTGTCAAAGTCGCTGGACTTTGAGATTGGTCTTGACACGAGTCGGAGGAGAGAACGACATCGACTTATTGTGAGTTGTGTTTGGAAACGTTGGATTATCTCCCTTTACTGACTGCTTTGAGAGAGAATTCTTTGCATATACTGGTTGCATGAACAAGGTTACAGGTATCAGGTTCTGAATAGACCATTAAGGACATGGGTAAATATGTCTAGCATTCATTTCACAGGATGCAAAATGAGGTGGTGTTGACTTATATATATTCAGATTAGGATTTTTTTAAATGGAGCACAGCCACTAACCTTTTTGTCTAATTTACCTTGGTGCACAAAGAACAGTTGATAATGGAAAAATGTATATTCATTATTTTCCAAATTTATTATCTCATTTGAAAATGAAGGTTGTTAAGATGAATTTTATCTTTGATGACAGTCTGGAGAGGAATATGATCCTCGGAGCGTCAACAACCGCACCCTGACCGAATGTATCCACTTGGAGAATATTGCAGAGACGAGGTTCCGGGAACTGGTAGAGACAAATGGCCTTCCGCCGAACAGGACGGCCATCAGGAGGTGGGTGGAGGGAGAGGGAGGGGTCATCAGGAGGTGGTGGGGAGAGAGGGAGAGGCCACCAAGAGGTGGGGGAAGAGGGAGAGGCCACCAAGAGGTGGGGGAAGAGGGAGGGAGGGGCCGTCTGAAGGTGGTGGATGGGGAGGGAGGGGCTATCTGAAGGTGGTGGAGGGGGAGGGAGGGGCCATCTGAAGGTGGTGGAGGGGGAGGGAGGGAGGGGCCATCTGAAGGTGGTGGAGGGGGAGGGAGGGGCCATCTGAAGGTGGTGGAGGGGTAGGGAGGGAGGGGCCATCTGAAGGTGGTGGAGGGGGAGGGAGGGGCCATCTGAAGGTGGTGGAGGGGAAGGGAGGGGCCATCTGAAGGTGGTGGAGGGGGATTGAGGGGCCATCAGGAGGTGGTGGGGGAGAGGGAGGGGCCATCAGGAAGAGAAGGAGGGGGGAGAGGGAGGGGCCATCAGGAAGAGAAGGAGGGGCCATCAGGAGGTGGTGAGGGAGAGGGAGGGGCCATCAGGAGGTGGTGGAGAGAGAGGGAGGGGCCATCAGGAGGTGGTGGGGGAGAGGGAGGGGCCATCAGGAAGAGAAGGAGGGGGGAGAGGGAGGGGCCATCAGGAAGAGAAGGAGGGGCCATCAGGAGGTGGTGGAGAGAGAGGGAGGGGCCATCAGGAGGTGGTGGGGAGAGGGAGGGGCCATCAGGAAGAGAAGGAGGGGCCATCAGGAGGTGGTGGAGAGAGAGGGAGGGGCCATCAGGAGGTGGTGGAGAGAGAGGGAGGGGCCATCTGAAGGTGGACACGGGAGAGGGAGGGGCCATCTGTAGGTGGTTGGAAGGAGAAGTTCTTCCTTGTTAAATTAATTATGTGGCTCACGCCTAAAATATCAGTGTCTTTACTCCAGATCTGACTTGTCAGGAGGCGGAAGGTATCCCACCCCGTACAACCAGGTGACCACACTGCCCCCTGGTGGCAGCCAGGTGACGGCAACACCGCGCATCATCTTCATCTCCTCCCGAGTCCCAGCAGCAGAGGTGAGGTTGGAGTGAACTGATGACAGAACATGTCTGAATAATCGCTGCGTCGTCGTCATCATCATCAGTTTATCAGCTGTATGATGCTGGAGCAGTTGTATTGCCCAAGTGTTTGAACCTGTCTGTGACAAAAATATTTGTGTCTACTCGCCCAAACATCTAAGCATCATTTTCAGTAGAGTTAAGTGTTATCATGTTGACTATCATTTGTTGAGCTTACAAGACCTAACAAAATTTTGCTAGACTAGGGCTTCAGGCTGGTGGCTAGTGTTGCAGACTGTTCAACACTTAGTCTTGTGTTTGAGACACAGATTATTTGAGGAATTTTTTTTTTTAATGGAAACAAAAATGAAACGTGCGGTAGACTTTATGATAATGTGGAGGTGCCTGAGAACCAAGACTATTATTTTTTTAGCCTTATTTGTCCTTAACATTGTGTCTGTATCTGCAGCTGCTGCTTGATGCCGTCATGTTTGGTGTGATCCCGATCGTGTACGAGTATGAAGGGACGAGCACAGAGACGCTGATGCATCAGATCGAGAAGGTTCTACAGGGCAGGAATGCTCAGTATGTACTCTTAACAATTCACTTGCTTGATTCTTGTTTGAAGAAACTTCTTGATCGTGAATCTCATGTCAATATATTTTATATATGTTTGTTACATGACATTCGATATTGTCAGGAGCGTGGGCCTGTTTACTCATTCGGATGAGCCAGGCGACATCCGTCTCGTCCATGGCTGCACCGTCAACATCAACAACTACGATGCCTCCGAGTCGTGCGAGTTCTTTGAAAGCGTGACCAATCACATCCTCCCAGCCAACATGGGGGGACAGCTGGATGTGTTTGTCCCTCTGGCTGCATCAGGTGAGTCTTTCACGACAATATGGGCGTACCTTTAAGTTATAACAAGGACCCTTTGACTTTCATCACTCTTGTCTGCTGGTTAATTTTATGAATCAAACTCAAATTATGATCTAGTTATGACTATTGGTCTTTCAGCACATATTAACTGCATGTGTAGATTTCATCATTAAGATAGCGTCTCGGACCTGTGATGTAAGAACCCCGACTCACTGACCGAGGTTCATGTTGCAGAGGCTGGGATGGAGCTGATGGTGCAGCTGAGTGTCCTCACGGGGATGCAGTTCTCCTCACCAACCGGGATCATCGGCTCCTACAACCACGGTAAGTCGCAGGTAGCATCGGCTCCTACAACCACGGTAAGTCGCGGGTAACATTGGCTCCTACAACCATGGTAAATCGCAGGTAACATTGGCTCCTACAACCATGGTAAGTTGCAGGTAGCATCGGCTCCTACAACCACGGTAAGTCGCAGTTAGCATCGGCTCCTACAACCACGGTAAGTCGCAGTTAGCATCGGCTCCTACAACCACGGTAAGTCGCAGGTAGCATCGGCTCCTACAACCACGGTAAGTCGCAGTTAGCATCGGCTCCTACAACCACGGTAAGTCGCAGGTAGCATCGGCTCCTACAACCACGGTAAGTCGCAGTTAGCATCGGCTCCTACAACCACGGTAAGTCGCAGGTAGCATCGGCTTCTACAACCACGGTAAGTCGCAGGTAGCATCGGCTCCTACAACCATGGTAAGTCGCAGGTAACATTGTCTCCTACAACCACGGTAAGTCGCAGGTAGCATCGGCTCCTACAACCACGGTGAGTCGCAAGTAGCATCGGCTCCTACAACCACGGTAAGTCGCAGGTAGCATCGGCTCCTACAACCATGGTAAGTCGCAGGTAACATTGTCTCCTACAACCACGGTAAGTCGCAGGTAGCATCGGCTCCTACAACCACGGTAAGTCGCAGGTAGCATCAGCTCCTACAACCACGGTAAGTCTCAGGTAGCATCGGCTTCTACAACCATGGTAAGTTGCAGGTAGCATCGGCTTCTACAACCATGGTAAGTCGCAGGTAGCATCGGCTCCTACAACCATGGTAAGTCACAGGTAGCATCGGCTCCTACAACCACGGTAAGTCGCAGGTAGCATCGGCTCCTACAACCATGGTAAGTCGCAGGTAACATCGGCTCCTACAACCACTGTAAGTCTCAGGTAGCATCGGCTCCTACAACCACGGTAAGTCGCAGGTAGCATCGGCTCCTACAACCATGGTAAGTCGCAGGTAGCATCGGCTCCTACAACCACGGTAAGTCTCAGGTAGCATCGGCTCCTACAACCACGGTAAGTCGCAGGTAGCATCGGCTCCTACAACCACGGTAAGTCTCAGGTAGCATCGGCTCCTACAACCACTGTAAGTCACAGGTAGCATCGGCTCCTACAACCACGGTAAGTTACAGGTAGCATCAGCTCCTACAACCACGGTAAGTCGCAGGTAGCATCGGCTCCTACAACCACGGTAAGTCGCAGGTAGCATCGGCTCCTACAACCACGGTAAGTCACAGGTAGCATCGGCTCCTACAACCACGGTAAGTCGCAGGTAGCATCGGCTCCTACAACCACGGTAAATCGCAGGTAACATCGGCTCCTACAACCACGGTAAGTCGCAGGTAACATTGTCTGGTACAACCCCGGTGTATCTCGGGTAACATTGTCTCGTACAACCATGGTAAGTCTCAGGGAACATCGGCTCTTACAACCTCAGAGAGTCTCGCATAACATCCTCTCCTACAGTGAGTCTCAGGTAACATTGGCTCCTACAACCTCAGTCAGTCACAGGTAACATCAGCTCCTACAACCACCGTAAGTCTCGAGTACATCAGCTCTTACCTCTTTAAACCTGGCCTTCTTTGTTTTTGGGGAACATGTTCCACCCAGTAGTCTTAGCGCTTCACTAATGTGAAAAACGTCTAAGACCTGCATCGCATCGGGTCTTCCCTCCACCAGTTGCTGAAACGTTGTGATGTGACTGAATAACTGTTCAATGTGGTGTTAAAACCAACTCCTTCCATTCCCTCTTTTGTATAAACACAACATTGACCTTACCTCTCTAATTGTTTCAGTGAACACAGAGTGGCTGATACCATATAAGGACGGCCAGCCCACAGAGAAGTATTTCTGTCCAAGCAAGCTCCGTGTGTGGGCAAATGTGGCCGATCAGGCCCTGGAAGCAATCACAGACTGTCAGCAGATCATGGCGCCTTACTTTGAGAAAGCCCATCGGGACATTGCCGCTCAGCTCACTGGTGAGTTCACACGATGTGGACACGGCCCTACGCTCATGGAAATACGGATGCCTTGTCTGTTACAATTTGTGTGTTGTTTAACACCACACTCAGCCATATTCAATGTATGAAAATAATTGAGTCTAGACCAGACGATCTGGTGATTGATATGATTTAAGATCCATGCCATCAGCCAGGTCACGGAGCCTGACCACCCAATCAACTAAATCGCCTTGTTCGACAAGCATGGACTGCTCTGGACCCGTTTTAACCCAGACTCCACTGTTTATTATCCCCCACCATGATGTGGAAGGCTGATATTGGCATGGATGCTGTCCATCCGTCCATCGGCACGGCACGTTTGGTTTCCGGAGCAGAACTCAAAAAGCATATCTTAACCGAACTTGGCACATAGACAGATCTAGTTGTTAACTGGTGCCTTTTGATAGTTTGGGATATTTAAAAAAAAAATATTCTGGTTTCCATGGCAACGATTTTGACTTAGACTGAAAATGGTGGTAGTGCTCTTTTCTGGCACAGATCTTGAAAACCGTGCAAAATTTCTTCACCAAACTTGGCACATAGATAGGTCTTATGTCTAGTGGTGAACTGGTGCCTTTTGATAGTTTGGGATTTTTAAAATTTATTTTTCATGTTTCTATAGCAACAACTTTGACTTTGACTGAAATGGCCGTAGTTCTCGTTTCTGGAGCAGATCTTGAAAACTGTACAATTTTTCTTGCCTTGCACACAACCGGACGATATACCAACTGTGCGATCCGATACGTATCACAATACCTTACTCGCGATCCAATATGTATTATGATACTTGCATGTGCTCTTATCTGTGGTGCGTAAGTCATCTTTTTCATGGACAGGATGACCAAATACCTGACGATTTACAGTTGACAGTGTCAAGTATGGCACAAAGGAAAATATGTATGTTTTCACTATTAACTTTCACTACTGATAAGTGTCTAGTGGAACAGTTATTAAAGCAAACATTTAAGGTCAGAATTGATATTTTTTACTTAGAGTGAGACTGTGATGGATACTTGTATCGAAAAGGAAAAGATCACTATCCACTGGTGCATCGTTGTATCGTCCCAGAACTACTACTACTACACTTTGACAAAACATTCTAAAGAACCTTAAAACATGTATTGTGACGATCACCTCGTGACGGAGCACTTGCAACAGCGACAGAAAACACAATCAACTCTCCATTCCTGACAAATAACAGAGCACGCAAACAATAGAATGATGTCACAGATGTGTTTTAATAACAACATAATTGTCATTTAATACTCATATTAGAATACTCATGCTGACACACATTACAAGTAGTGACTAGTTTTGCCCATGTTTGGACTTTATATTTATAGCTGTGATATACAGGCAGAAATATAATTCAACTTTACTAGTTTTCAGCCAATCCAAGTTTCTATTAGCCTCTGTGCAACTTTGATTCAGTGTCATTCACTGAGATTTATATCTTCAAAGATATAATTTTTTATTCCTGTTCAACTGAGAATGTGTTGTCTGTGTTCAGGCCAGGTTGTGTTTGACGCACTGGGTCAGGCTGACATCCAGGGGACCCACTCCATCACCCAGGCCCTCACTGACGGACTTGTCGCCCTCGGCAGTCAGAGCAATGTGCGTTACATCATCTCACCATCAGTTTCTCACCATCAATACCTCACCATCAGTATCTCACCATCAGTAGCTCACCATCAATATCTCACCATCAATACCTGACTATCAGTACCTGACCATCAATACCTCACCATCAATATCTTGCCATCAATATCTCACCATCAATACCTCACCATCAATACCTCACCATCAGTATCTCACCATCAATATCTCACCATCAATACCTCACCATCAGTATCTCACCATCAATATCTCACCATCAATACCTGACCATCAGTATCTCACCATCAATATCTCGCCATCAATATCTCACCATCAATACCTCACCATCAAAACCTCACCATCAATACCTCACCATCAGTATCTCACCATCAGTATCTCACCATCAATACCTGACCATCAGTACCTGACCATCAATACCTCATCATCAATACCTCACCATCAATATCTCACCATCAATATCTCGCCATCAATATCTCACCATCAATACCTCACCATCAGTATCTCACCATCAATATCTCACCATCAATACCTGACCATCAGTACCTGACCATCAATACCTCATCATCAATATTCGCCATCAATATCTCACCATCAATACCTCACCATCAATACCCCACCATCAATATCTCACCATCAATATCTCACCATCAATACCTCACCATCAATACCTCACCATCAATACCTCACCATCAATATCTCATCAATACCTCACCATCAATACCTCACCATCAATATCTCACCATCAATGCCTCACCATCAATGCCTCACCATCAATACCTCACCATCAATACCTCATCCTGTATCACTGTCCTAGCTTAATTCAAATCAGGTTCCAGCTACCCAGATGGCAATAACTTGTGTTGACCAAACAAAATTTCTGTTACAAGTGTTATATTTGGGATAACACTTTCTTTGTAAAGTACAGATTCACATACCTTTTTGGGTTGAGTCCCGTGGGGGATTCGAACCGACACTTGCCAGCACACAAACTCAGCGGTCTAACCCACTCAGCCACTGAGACTTCCACAAAAATGAAAGTCTGACAACTGGTAGTCTAGATCATGACTTTGTGTACCCCTCTGTCATGTGTATATTGGCATGGCTCCGATGGCCGAAAGGTAATCACTGACTTTGTGTGCTGGGGATTAGGTGCCTCACCAGGCCTCACTCTGGCAGTGTGGGTTCGAATCCCGCACGGGACACAACCCAAAAAACTACGAGAATCTGTACTTTACTCAGAAAGTGTTATCCAAAATATAACATTTGTCACATTTGACCACTTTCTAAATAGCATTGTGTGTTCAAAACTTTCTGTTGATATTTATCAAGCTTTACTATGGGTTTTCATATTTTTGTACATCATACATCTAAAAGTTTTGTCAACTAACAAAACTTAGTACTCAGCCGTACTCAGTGCTTATACTGCTTGTTAGTTTAAAGCATAGACTGTGTTATGTATTGTCAATATTTCTTGTAAAGATGTTTAAGAGCTTCTTCCAGCCATACTGCCAAATTAATCTTTGTATATTTCTGACACACTGCAGACATTTTCAGATGACCAAGGTTCCAGCTTGGTGTATTGCACTGTGTCAGTTGATGGGGTTGTAAAGTGACACTTGTCATCCATGCTTGTAGGTTCATCCTCTGGAGTTTCTGGGTCAGTTTCTTCTCGAGCAGGCAGGGGTCACTGAGATCTCCATGACAACAAGGGCTGATAATCTAAGACAGGTCAGTATTATTTTTTTAAGTGTAATTACTGTTCTGGTGGTATAGGTACATCATCTAAGGGTAACCTTAATCACTAAGGGTAGATATATAGTTTCTGGCTAACTTAGTCAGAAGTTGACCGCCTCCGTGGTCTAGTGGTAGAGCATCCGCCCGGAGAGTGGAAGGTCCGGGGTTCGATCCCCAGCCGCGTCATACCAAAAGACGTTAAAAGATGGTACTTGTTGTTACCCTGTCTGGCGCTCGGCATTAAGGGGCTAAAACAAGGACTGGTCGGCTTGGAGTCAGTATACTGTGTCTGAGTGGGGTATTCATGTTAAACTGTGGCATGATATCTCAGTTAGCTAGCACTATAAATCGGCATCAGTCCGGACTAGTACAAGCAGCCACACACACACACATGCATGCACCTCGCTATATAAGTGCAGTAATCTTGGACGCAACGTTAAACCCCATTTCACCTCACCTCACCTATTCATGTTAAACTCCTCAAGGTATATCTGAAGGCTAGCTCTATACAACAGGGGTTAGTCCTGTCTAGTACACAGCTGGAACAGCGCTCAAATTCTCACTTGTCAGTTTCTGATTTCATGCATAATTCCAACCTCTGCTTGTTGTGCAGACACGGCAGACAGAGCGGCAGGGTCGGGACAACATCCCGGGGCGCGAGGGAGGCGGGGCCGACTCCTCCCTGGACCGTGAGGTGGAACACATCACCAGTGACCACTCCCAGCAGGAGGAGGAGGAGGAGAAGGAGGACCGCGGGGAGAGAGGTGGGTGGAGAGTTGGGTTCGGTAGAGTAGGTGAGTGGATCACGACATGGCTCCTGTGATGAGTGGATCATGACCTGGTCACTGTGGTGGGTGGATCATGACCAGGTCCCTGTGGTTGGTGGATCATGACCTGGCTCCTTTGATGAGTGGATCACGACATAGCTCCTGTGATGAGTGGATCATGACCTGGTCCCTGTGATGAGTGGATCATGACCTGGTCCCTGTGGTGGGTGGATCATGACCTGGGTCCCTGTGATGAGTGGATCATGACCTGGTCCCTGTGATGAGTGGATCATGACCTGGTCCCTGTGATGAGTGGATCATGACCTGGTCCCTGTGATGAGTGGATCATGACCTGGTCCCTATGATGAGTGGATCATGACCTGGTCCCTATGATGAGTGGATCATGACATGGGTCATGTGGTAAGTGGATCATGACCTGGTCCCCGTGATGAGTGGATCATGACCTGGTCCCTATGATGAGCGGATCATGACATGGGTCATGTGGTAAGTGGATCATGACCTGGTCCCCGTGATGAGTGGATCATGAGCTGGTCCCTGTGGTGGGTGGATCATGACCTGGTCCCTATGATGAGTGGATCATTACCTAGTCCCTGTGATGAGCGGATCATGACATGGGTCATGTGGTAAGTGGATCATGACCTGGTCCCCGTGATGAGTGGATCATGAGCTGGTCCCTGTGGTGGGTGGATCATGACCTGGTCCCTATGATGAGTGGATCATCACCTAGTCCCTGTGATGAGCGGATCATGAGCTGGTCCCTGTGGTGGGTGGATCATGACCTGGTCCCTGTGATAAGTGGATCATGACCTGGTCCCTGTGATGAGTGGGGTCATGACCGGGTCCCTGTTATGAGTGGATCATGACCTGGTCCCTGTGATGAGTGGATCATGACCTGGGTCCTGTAATGAGTGGATCATGACCTGGGTCCTGTAATGAGTGGATCATGACCTGGTCCCTGTGATGAGTGGATCATGACCTGGTCCCTGTGATGAGTGGACCATGACCTGGTCCCTGTGATGAGTGGACCATGACCTGGGTCCTGTGATGAGTGGATCATGACCTGGTCCCTGTGATGAGTGGATCATGACCTGGGTCCTGTAATGAGTGGATCATGACCTGGTCCCTGTGATGAGTGGATCATGACCTGGTCCCTGTGATGAGTGGATCATGACATGGTCCCTGTGATGAGTGGATCATGACCTGGTCCCTATGATGAGTGGATCATGACCTGGTCCCTGTTGGGTGGATCATGACATGGGTCCTGTGGTAGGTGCATCCTGACGTGTACAAAAGTATGTATTTGTTTGCATTTCAACTTTAGCTCCTACAAGTGTAATTGAACACTCTTGGATGTAATGTGTTGTGTGTCTGTATGCAGAATAATGTATGTCGGCGATCATGTAAAGTGTGATACAATATAGAGATCCATACTTTTCTAGATGTAACAGATCATGAGATTGTGAGATCTATATCACCTGATGTGGATGTAAAGTGTAGCTGACATCGTGGACGTTGTTGCAGATGACCTGCAGATGGACTCAGCGGAGAAGTATGACAGTCAGGAGAAGATTTCCAAGGACGAGAAGAACATGCTGAGGCAACAGTCAGTGAGCAACTCGACGATGGAGAGGAAGACCGTCACCCTCAAGACACAGGACCTCAGGAACAAGTTTGGCACAATGACGACCGGCACCCTTCGAGCAACCAAGTCCCAGCGGCTGGTAAGGCCTCTCTCTGTAATGTGTGGTCCCAGTTGCTGGTAGGGCCTCTCTCTGTAATGTGTGGTCCCAGTGGCTGGTATGGCCTCTCTCTGTAATGTGTGGTCCCAGTGGCAGGTAGGGCCTCTCTCTGTTATATGTGGTCCCAGTGGCTGGTAGGGCCTCTCTTTGTAATGTGTGGTCCCAGTGGCTGGTAAGGCCTCTCTCTGTAATGTGTGGTCCCAGTGCCTAGTACGGCATTTCGTTCCAGTGGCTGGTAAGGCCTCTCTCTCTGTTATGTGTGGTCCCAGTGGCTGGTAAGGCCTCTCTCTGTAATGTGTGCATGTCCCAGTGGCTAGTAGGGCCTCCCTTTGTAATGTGTGCATGTCCCAGTGGCTGGTAGGGCCTATCTCTGTAATGTGTGGTCCCAGTGGCAGGTAGTGCCTCTCTCTGTAATGTGTGGTCCCAGTGCCTAGTAGGGCATTTCGTCCCAGTGGCTGGTAAGGCCTCTCTCTGTGTTATGTGTGGTCCAGTGGCTGGTAAGGCCTCTCTCTGTAATGTGTGGTCCCAGTGCCTAGAAGGGCATTTCGTCCAAGTGGCTGGTAAGGCCTCTCTCTGTGTTATGTGTGGTCCAGTGGCTGGTAAGGCCTCTCTCTGTAATGTGTGCATGTCCCAGTGGCTGGTAGGGCCTCTCTCGCTCTAATGTGTGGTCCCAGTGGCTGGTAGGGCCTCTCTATGTAATGTGTCCATGTCCCAGTGGCTGGTAGGGCCTCTCTCTGTAATGTGTGGTCCCAGTGGCTGGTAGGGCCTCTCTCTGTAATGTTTGGTCCCAGTGGCAGGTAGGGCCTCTCTCTGTTATGTGTGGTCCCAGTGCCTAGTAGGGCATTTCGTCCCAGTGGCTGATAAGGCCTCTCTCTGTGTTATGTGTGGTCCAGTGGCTGGTAAGGCCTCTCTCTGTAATGTGTCCATGTCCCAGTGGCTGGTAGGGCCTCTCTCGCTCTAATGTGTGGTCCCAGCGGCTGGTATGGCCTCTCTCTGTAATATGTGGTCCAAGTGGCAGGTAGGGCCTCTCTCTGTTATATGCGGTCCCAGTGGCTGGTAGGGCCTCTCTTTGTAATGTGTGGTCCAAGAAGCTGGTAGGGCCTCTCTCTGTAATGTGTGGTCCCAGTGGCAGTTAAGGCCTCTTTCTGTAATGTGTGGTCCCAGTGGCAGTTAAGGCCTCTTTCTGTAATGTGTGGTCCCAGTGGCTGGTATGGCCTCCCTCTGTAATGTGTGGTCCAAGAAGCTTGTAGGGCCTCTCTCTGTGATGTGTGGCCTAAGTGGCTGGTAGGACCTCTCTCTGTAATGTGTCCATGTCCCACCGGCTGGTAGGGTGAGGTGAGGTGAAATGGGGTTTAACGTCGCGTCCAAGATTATTGCACTTATATAGCGATGTGCATGTACGTGTGTGTGTTTTCCGGCTGGTAGGGCCTCTCTCTCTGTAATGTGTCCATGTCCCACCGGTTGGTAGGGCCTCTCTCTGTAATGTGCTCATGTCCCACTGGCTGGTAGGACCTCTCTCTGTTATGTGTCCATGTCCCACCGGTTGGTAGGGCCTCTCTCTGTAATGTGTGCATGTCCCACTGGCTGGTAGGACCTCTCTCTATAATGTGTGGTCCCAGTGGCTGGTAGGACCTCTCTCTATAATGTGTGGTCCCAGTGGCTGGTGGGGCCTCTCTCTTGCAGTGGCTGGGACATTCATATTTTTTGTTTTTTTCATGATCTACAGTAAATATGTGATATCCTACACTATGTATCCCACTTTCTCTGTCCAGACATCCCAGCAATATACTGAGCATCCTGAGAAGCGGACTCCGATAGCTTTTGAGATCCTCACCAGTGAGATGGAGTACAACCGCATGTTGAGGGCTGTCAGAGATGTGTACTACAAGCCTCTCAAGTCCGCTCTCACTGCCAACAGGTGACACCATGTTTCAATGATTGCATGAAGAATGGATGAACAGTAAAAACAAAAGATCCTTGGATTTTTTCCAAATCATCTTTAACCGCAGACCTGGGTGGCCCTGGGGTATGAGTCAGCTACGTTCGGGTTTGAATCCCACATTTTCCCAGATTATGACCCTTGGTTTGTCATTTCATGTCCATTGTGTCAGTTTCACCATTGTGTCACCCTGCATGACATGTCATAAGATAATGGACTGAAATACTTTTTAATTCTAGGAGACCCATGAAGATCCTGGGTAGAATAGGTGTTCAACAACCCATGCTTGTCGTAAAAGGTGACTTTGCTTGTCGTAAGAGGCAACTAACAGGATCAGGTGGTCAGGCTCGCTGACTTGGTTGAATCGATTGCATGGATTGATGCTCATGATGTCAGTCACTGGATTGTCTGGTCCAGACTTGATTAATTACAGACCGCCGTCATATTTCTGGAATATTGCTGAGTTCAGCGTTAACCAACAAACTAACAAACAAATTTAATCTAGGACAAAGGTTACTTGGTCACCTTCTCTAAGATTTCCTGTTTGTTTCGTTTTCCAGGGCGATCATCAGCAGCCAGAATCTGCATGTCATCTTCACAGATATCATGGCCATTCTCACCATCAGCAGGTAACCTTTCTATCAGCAGGGAAACTCACAATCACTAGGTAAACTCACATCACTGGGTAAACTCACAATCACTAGGTAAACTCACATCACTGGGTAAACTCACCATCACTAGGTAAACTCACCATCATCAGGTTAACTCACCATCACTAGGTAAACTCACCATCACTGGGTAAACTCACCATCACTAGGTAAACTCACCATCACCAGGTAAACTCACCATCACTAGGTGAACTCACCATCACTAGGTAAACTCACATCACTGGGTAGACTCACCATCACTAGGTAAACTCACATCACTAGGTAAACTCACCATCACTAGGTAAACTCACCATCATTAGGTAAACTCACCATCACTAGGTAAACTCACCATCACCAGGTAAACTCACCATCACTAGGTGAACTCACAATCACTAGGTAAACTCACATCACTGGGTAGACTCACCACCACTAGGTAAACTCACATCACTGGGTAAACTCACATCACTGGGTAGACTCACCATCACTAGGTAAACTCAAAATCACTAGGTAAACTCACCATCACTGGGTAAACTCACAATCACTAGGTAAACTCACATCACTAGGTAAACTCACCATCACTAGGTAAACTCACATCACTGGGTAAACTCACAATCACTAGGTAAACTCAAAATCACTAGGTAAACTCACCATCACTAGGTAAACTCACCATCACCAGGTAAACTCACCATCACTAGGTGAACTCACCATCACTGGGTAAACTCACCATCACTAGGTAAACTCACCATCACCAGGTAAACTCACCATCACTAGGTAAACTCACCATCACTGGGTAAACTCACCATCACTGGGTAAACTCACCATCAACAAGTAAACTCACCATCATTGAGTAAATTCACTTAGTTTTCTCTCAACATTTAGTTTCATGCACACGTCACTATTTGGACAATCTTCTTGGAATAGTTGATACATTTTCATGTCCTTGAATATGAGTAGTTGTCCATGAAAACATCTTACAACACTATTTTAAAGGTATAATATGGCTGGCGTATCCTTCAACAAAATCATGATGTAACAAACATATGAACACCCTGCAGACCAATCAGAATACTGGATTATATAATGCTGAGAGAATGATGCTTGGATAATAGGGCTGGGACGAGTCCAAATTTACTACCCGGGTACCCGACCGCGTATTACCCGACCCAACCCGGGTACCCACTGCAAGTCTCATGAGTAGGGAACAAAATGTCTGATTGGTAATTGTTTTACCGCAGCCCTGGTTAAAACTATTTAGATACATGTATCAAACAATCAGACTATGCGTTCACTGAAGTTGACTGAAGCTTTATCTTTACTCAAACAAATACAAGTCAAAAAGAATGTGTGCATCGTCAGAAAGAAATGCGAACATTAGCGACTTGTAGTGTAACCACTGAACTAAAGTAAGTTTTTGACATTAAACAATGTATCACGTGACTAACCACGGGTCCGGGTAGTCCTGTGGGTATCCGGGTCCTACTCAGGACCCATCCGACGTGAGTACCCAAGTTACCTGTCCCAGCCCTATTGGACGACTACATAGTTTTTTGGATGGTTTGTCCCTCTGAGTGCTGTTGCCCAGCAACCAACCACTGGTCAGTATCACAAGTTGCCATGGTGATGATGCAGTTGCCGACTTGAGCTTGAAACATCTTTCTGTTCCAGACAGCTGACTGAGGATCTGAAGAACCGCCTGGCAGACTGGACGTACCAGCATACATGCATCGGCGACATCTTCGTCAAGTTCTGCTTACAGCTCAAGGCATACACCAACTTCATCAACAACAACGAAGTCATCCTCGGTGCAATCGAGCGCTGCAAGGAGCAGACGCCAGCATTCCGCGCGTACCTCCTTCGTCACCAGCACCTCCCCGAGACAAAGATGCTGACGTGAGTGAGACAAGACATTTTGATTCATGTCCGGGACAATGGAGGAAAGACTACAATCATGATTTATTAAATCTAGCTGTCTGATTGGCCTATCACTGGAAGTGTTTGTGTAGGAAGTAAGAATGGCAGAAAATATGTATTGTATATACTTTTGATACACAATGTGGGTTTTTGACACACAATAGGGAATGACAGATATGCTTGCTTGTTAAATGAACAGTCAATGACAAATGTGTGAAAGTGTAATGATTCAAGCATTAGAAATCGTCCTGTAGCAGCGTTAGAAATTGGCACTAGTCCTATAGTCCCTGTCAAACTGGCCAATGGTTAAGGTATCATAAGGACTAGTAGAAATTTGTCATTTTTAAGGGTTTTGCTATAAGTTATCGTTATTAGGACTTGTGGACTAAATTGTTAGTTTCTACCACAGGATTCACCTGTAGAAGTGAGAGTGTGTAAAGTTAAATGGCGGAAATCATACAACAGGTGATTACAGAGTGGGCTATTCATGATAAACTGCTGCATGGCATCTCAGTGGGCTAGCACTATAAAATCGGTCTAAAAAATTAGTCCAGACTTGTACAAGGGGCCACACTCACACACGTTCATGCATGTCGTTATAGAAGTGCAATAATCTTGAACAGGATGTTAATCCCCATTTCACCTCACCCCTTCCTCCTCCAGGCTCCAGGAGCTCCTGCTGCAGCCAAGTCGTCGCATCTCGGAGTATGTCACTCTGCTCAGCTGGTTCGAACTCCACACGCCACGCAACCACGCTGACCGCGAGGACCTGGCCAACGCCATTGCCACCATGCGGGAGCTGGATCGCGGCATCAAGGAGGTGAGTTACTACGGCCATACAGAACAACTCGCCCCGCCGACCGTGGTCCTTCTAACGTACGTGGAGTGTGTGAGTGAGTGAAGTTTGTTTCATTCTGCTGTCGGCAATATTCACACTGTAACATGCATTCCAACCTTCGACGGCTGTGTAACCCTGATGATCTATATTGCTATGATACACACCGTCATGGAACAATGACACAAGGGCTGCAACGAATACACTATGAGCAAATACGATTCGTATCATAAATAAGGGTAACGAATACGAATATTAAATCACGAATACAATAACAAGTCAGCAGTTGATTTATTATTTGTTATATTCAGTGAAAAAGTAACAACATAAATTATTTGACATGGTTTGTTAATTATTAATATATTATACATTTACATACTGCACTTATCCAGGTACTAGTATCTGCTCAAAGGTGACAATGACACGTGACCACATAACTGTCATATTAACTATAACGAGTGTTTTCTTTGAAGAAATCTATGCATATAATATGTTCTTATGGATATTTTTAGGTACAGGGTATGTAAATGCATATGATTGCATATTCTTAAATATTTGATTCTAGTGGCCACAAATAACAAGTTCAATTCATGAATGGATACGGTTCGATTCCCCGGATATGCGAGTGAATCGTAAATGACACGCTATCAACCAAGTCACCCAGTCTGACCACCTGATCCATTAAGTCCTGTCTTAGGCATTAAAAAATACAAGAATTGGTTCTCAGGCAGTGACTTGAAATTATAGAGTGGGCGGGCGGTGGTTTCTTCTTTTTTCTTTCGCTTGTTCAAAATAGTATGTAACCAAATAAATAGTATCAACCTGGAAAAGGGCCTCCCTAAATAAACAAGCATTCAAACTTCTATTGCCGCATGACAATATCACGAGATGCGCAGTAAAGCAGTGCACATGTAAAGGGAAGTAACTGTGTGCTATATTGGATCGCATTGTTTTTAAGTATTAGGATTTTTGTTTTTGCTTTTTTTAAATGGAAACAAAAATTATGTTGGGGTGGTTCCTGAGAACTAAGACTATTATTTTTTTTAGCCAAGGTTGCTGGAGATCAATTGTGGCCCGGAATCCCAACACAGGGGATGTCAGTGCTTGTATGGTGTGTTCTCCGACTGAGTGTTCTTTGTTTCAGTGCAAGCGCCGTGTACAGAGGGAGCGACAACTTGTCACGCTGCAGAAGAGAATCATCAACTGTCCGGTAGGTCTTGGTGGCACGTGGTCCTGTGCAAAGCGCACAGGTCACAAATCAAGTGAAGTTAAGTAACTTCGGTTGGGCAGAGTCCCTGGCTACTTGACTCCTGAGAGTTTCTAAGGCTTCGGCAATGCCCCACACTGAAGCACATGTAACACATGTCACGTCTCCTTGGGCAAGCGACTTTGTTCTAAATATGCCCCCTGTTCCCCCAGCAGTGAATGGGTACCCGGTAGGATGAGAAGGCAATTTGGTTGTTAACCTTCGAGCGCCTAATAGGCAGCTTGGGCTGCTTACTCCCCAGGGAGCTGAGAATAATTGTTGAGTGCACAATGATCCAGTGACCGGGGTAATAATAGCGCTTTGAGCATGCCCCTGAGTGGTGTGGAAATTTGGGCAATATAAATAGCCTATTATTGTTATAGTTATTGTTATTATTATTTTATCTCATCACACATGGCAGCCACACAAATGCATGTAGGCTGAGAAAAAGTCACTTGGTTATGTTTCATTGCATCTTCCAGAGGCAAGAGAGTTGGATGACTATAAAAGTTCAGTTTCCACCCTTGCCGAACTAGGCTGGTATTATGGAGTTCCATTTTGTCTGGACTAACAAGTTTATGCATAGCACCAAAATCGAAATCCGGTTTGTAAAGTGTCAATCAGATTTCGATCGATTGCAGGATTTGCAAAGCATGTGCACCGCCAACTCGTTGTCAGCAGATATTTTCCAATTCCTTTCATGTTTTAATCAAGGTGCTCACGTGATTTGATGCATTTCACGATGTAAGATCCGTTTTATCACAATATAGATCTTGATTATGGATCAGATCGTCCTGACTGGGCGCCACCATTTTGTGTGAAACAAACGCAAGTGATACAAAAAGTGGAATCTGATTGGTCCATAGGAGAGGCTTAGAAGGGACATAACTTGTTATGGCCACTGGTGGCGCGACGATAGAGCCCAGGAATTCCAGCCTAGTTCAGCAAGGGTGGAAACTAGACTTTTAAAGTCAGTTATCTCTCTTGCCTCCTACCTCAGCTTTGTGAAAGCAACAAACTATGCATGCATGCATCAGTAGACCAAGAAAATAAAGATACCTGTTGTCTGACTTGATGTATGCATGATGTAATTCTGAGTTGCTGACATATTAATCAGTTCAATGTAAAATAACCAGATGAGATATTTTATAAAATAATTGGTTGTCAGGCAATGGCTTTTTAAAATATTGTGCGTTTTTTTATTATACATATTGGTTGTTCAAGCTAGTTTGTAACCAAATTTTGTTTACAATAATTTTGGTGAAATCATGTTGTTCTTAAGTATCGTATAGCATTTCACTGCAAGAGTCTTGTGTTTGAGACGTGAATTTTTTTTTTTAAATTGTGAAAATGGAAATAAAAACAAAAAAAGCAGCAGACTTTATGGTGATGCGGGCAGTGCCTGAGAACCAAGACTATTATTACTTTTAGCCTTACAGTGTTCCTGGGGCACTGGACAAGTTTTGAATTAACTACACTGACTGTGATTATGAAGATATTGTCTGTTTCAGGCACTTCTGGAAGCCAACCGCTACCTCATCAAACACCAGGATGTGGCGCACCTCAAACCCCCAGCAGAGGACTCTGTCGTGCCAGAACTTAGGTGAGGGCCATTTTAGGAACTTTAGACAGGAACTGTGTCAGTGAGTGGATATTTTTTATAACCAGTCTGCCCAGAGGATGGAGGGTTGTGGTTTGATCCCTGGCGGATCCAGCTGGTCATCTTGGAGTCAGGATGATGTGTCTGAGTAGGGTATCCATGTTAAACTGCGACATGGTATCTCTGTGAGCTAGCGCTATAAAGTGCTGGCATAAATCTAGATTAGTACAGGCAGTCTCTGTATGAGTGAAATAATCTTGAGCAAGACGTTAGGGCTTATTTCATCCCACCTACCAGTCAACAGCATTAGTCATAGCAGCCGGTGGATGAGTTCAGGACTGACGAGCAATTGGTCGATGGCATGAGCAGTAAAGTACGAGAAAGCTGTCTTCTGATTGGCTAATGTCGACTTCTTGTCGGTCATTCCATTGTTCGGTCATAGTTTGCGAAAAGTCGGTCTGACGTGACCTGTAATGTGATGTCCTCAGATTTATATTTATCGGGAGTGAGGACTAAGATCTGACTTGGAGATTGAGTGAGTCACATGTAGTGACCTATAGTGCATTGGTTCTCCATCTTTGTACATGTCACCTGATACATATATTTAGTACCGTTTCATCAAAACTAGTTACCATTATAAAGTTGTACATCAGACACCCTATTCTGGGAAAGGTTGGGGGGGCCAGTCGTCTAAGGCGCTGCGATTAGCTGTGCAGAGTTGCGTCCCTTCGGCACACAAAAAAGCTATGATTGTGGGTTCGAATCCTGGTTCGCCACGATTAAGTTTCTAGGTTTGTCAGCACCATAGCCATCCTTGTGGGTTTCACCGAAGTGGTAAACGTCTGAGGCCTGCATTACTTCAGGCTTTTCTCCCACATTAAGCTGACATGCCATGATATTACTGGAATACTGTTAAAAGTGGTATTAAAAACAACTCACTTACTCACGGAAAGGATGTGGGACATGGCCGAGAGAAAACCCTGTTGAAAATAGGAAATAAAGGGAGATAATTACTAGGGTACTCCCAAGGTATTTTATGGCACTTCATTTTGTGAAGGGCAGCAGCACTGCAGTGACGAGGCGTGCGTTCTGATGAAACTTTATTACATTTCTACTGACAAACCAGATAGAAGTAACTTCTTTGCAGGGTGGGAGCCTTTTCTTTAGTGCGAAAAAGTGTACTTTGACAGTGTCAGAATCATTTTGTTCAAAAGTCGAAGTAAAACAGAGAAAGTTGTGTAACACTGTAGTAAGCACTATTTACAGGAGACATCCCAGACCTCGTCCCCTGTCAGTTCTCTCCTGATCAGTACAGGTAGCGGTTATGTTGTCTGTAGGAGGAGTAAACATTTATCGTAAAACCAAGGAGCTAAGAACTAAATATGGAGAGTTGCATTTTTTTCCTCTGTACTGTCCAGGGTACAGGCTGAAGAACTGCCATTTCTGTGTCCCTCTTTATAAAGAACAAGTTTGCCATTTAACGCCACACTCAAGAATATTCCAGCTCTCTGACGGCACATCTGGACCAGACAATCAGGTGATGCAAATTACGTTCTACACTGTTAGGGTTCCAGAGACATCATCAACCAAGTCCCTTCTTACAATCAGCATAGGTTCCTTGGATGGATTCTAAGCCCAGAATCCCTATGGAGGATAATGATCAAATAAGCAGCAAATAATATAATACAATCCTAGAGAAGGACTAGACTGCCTATCTCAACCCCCATCACCCCTCATCAACAACTCCATAACCCCACCCAACCCCTCGTCAACTACTCCATAACCCCACCCAACCCCTCGTCAACAACTAAAAGGAGTAAAAGGATATTAGACAGCTTTGATACAGGGTGATTAGGCGAATAGTGTAAAGCTTTGTGAGCAGAAGGTAACCCTGACTTGTAGTAGAATTTGGGAGGAATCAAAGATACAATTAATGTTTCCCGGACTGCACTTACTAGTGCTTTCCAAGAGATGGGATTTCGATACACTGCACATGGCAATGACTGAGCACTTTTCAGGGGAAAATATTCCATCCTGTCTATGAGGTCAAATTATCTCCGAACCATTCATAAGTATCACAGTCAGGGTGTCCAGATAATTTGCCTTGATGAATCTACCACTGATTACATGTGGCTATCAGCAGATGGACAAAAGGCGCCAATGGTACCATCAGGTAAAGGTAATCGTGTCATTTTTTTGCATGCTGCAACCCATCATATGGGGCTTGTTGATGGATGGTTGCTAGTTTTCGAGGCGAAAAAGAAAACTGGTGATTTTCATAAGGAAATTATAGGAGGTGATGTGTTCATAGACCGGTTGGAACTTCAGGTGTTGCCCATTTTAAACAACGCCAGTGTTATTGTCATGGATAACGCCAGTTAATATAACGTCCGGGAATCAGATACTGTCGCCCAAACCATGAGTAGTCTGAAGGCGACCACACAGGAATATATGACATTGTCAACTTCAGACCATATGAAATGAAAGTTCAACTCATGGAGAAAATTCGGCTCAACAAGAATCCAGTAAAGTACAAGACATATGCTGGCGGCACAACACGGTTACGCTGTCTTACGTACGCCAGTCAGACACTGTGAGCTCAACCCTGTTGTGCCCATCATGGCTAAGTGAAACGGGTTCGTAGCAAGACATAACATAACATTCAAAAGTACAGATTCATATAAGTCATCAGCGGAGATAAATGCTACCTCAAGAAACCATCTGTAGAACAACAAATACTTCTGGTTTCCAAAACCGCAACCTTCCAATACTCATCCTGTTTCATAGCTCTTAACTAGTCATCATGTTTCCAAGCAAATATAATGCAGTACATATCCTAAATTGCTACCCCATCAACGAATGTCAATTAAGTACAATAACAGCAATGTTTTGAGACCACCCCCAACTCGGTGACATTTGCACCTGGGAGAATGCACGGGACGGTGTGAGGTCATCACCTCGGGACAGGTGTAAGTAATTACCTTAGGTTGTAGGCCATTTCATACATGCATGACAACACACGATAATATTCTAAGTTTATCCTCATTTTACCTGTAAAAGTACATATAAGAATAATCACAATGTCAGTTAGGACAGGCTAGATAAGGTCAATTCACGTTATTTTGATAAACCGTATTCGATGTAATAAGCGCCCACAGCAATATTTGCTAATATATTGGCTAGTGAACAATCCCAATTAGCACCCCTTCCAATTGATCAATGTACACAAGACTTATTTATTCGCGTATAATACGCACTTGTGTGTAATATGGATCCTTAATAATGGGCAATTAAATTCTGGAAAAATATAATACGTATAATATGCACAGACGTTTCGTTTGTATCATTTCAGGCTGTCAGCATAAACCACGAAATTTACGATCTTTCCAATAAAATTTTATTCTAATAAGAACCCCCTATTTCTAATTTTGAGAGCGCCCTGGGCGCATATTACGTCGAATACTGTATGCTCTTTTTATAGTCCTATGACTCGTATTTATTACATGAAGCCAGAAGAGCAGTTTTCTAGCATTTCCGACAGTACTTTAGTTAACACTGTCTTATTACCTCACTTGTCTGAGCATGGGCATCTCTGCTTGGATCACCAACCCGCAAGTTCAATAAAACAGGCACTTCCAACGCCCACGTGTGAATAGGCTAATGAACATCTATTGGCTATTTCAAGGCGATCAATACCCGGGATATGTCTGGGTGAAGCAGTCTTTGGGGTGAGGAGACTTTCTACATCCCGTGTTGCCAGTCTCCACAGTAGCCACTAATCTCGTGTCTATCAGAGGGTCTCATCTCGTCTAGCTAGCAGCCAGTATAGACCCGACTGTCACAATCTATAAAGGACAGTGCTTGTTTAATGGAAAATTGACCACTAAATGTGTCTCTGTTTAGTTAAACTGATGTCGGACTCTTTGAAATGATATTGCACTGATAAAGAAGTCTTCCGTATTCAAAGAACTATATTAATGTTATTTGTTAGGACTATCATTGAAGTTAACCGTGCATTTGTGCATCGTGTCCCTGATGTGTACATTTGATAGATAGGCATCTTTATTTGATGAAGACATCGATGCACTCAGAACGTTCCTCTTCCCAAATTCTAATTAAATAAAAGCACCTCCAAGAAAACTTATTCCATAAGAAAACTGTTTGCTGGCAGGGATTTACCTCAACCTGATAAGAAGATATAATCGGCCCTAGGTCTGCAGTAATTGTCAGTAAATATTCCCAAATTGGACTTGAGCATTTCCCAATTCATCCTGTTATATTTATAACTAATGTTGTATTTCACTGATAACAGGACCAATATTGAGGAAGAGGATTTAATGGTGAGTTTACATTATGGTATTTAAATGTTCAAGTTCAATGTTGAAATACTTCTGAATTAATATAGGAAAATAAGAACTTTAAAAAAAAAATGTCATTTGACTATTTCAACAAAATGTGCACAAAATAAATAATTCCCAGTTTGCCTGCCAAGGGCACTTAATTTTGAATCTCAAGATTTAATGTTTAACTCCAATTTGGAAATTTGTACTGACATCTGCTGCAGAATTGGGGTATCGGTCTCTGAAAAGGCGTAGATAAATCCCTGTCAACAGTGATTGGATTAGCCTCAATCATCTACACGCTGCCTAGATATGGCTGGACAACATTCAGCTTTGGTGTTGAGCAACATCCACTCACACACTTGTGTCCTGTTGTAATACAACCCCATAACCCCATCCCTCACCAACAGCCCCATAGCCCCACTCCTCAACCCCATAACCCCACCTCTCAACAAATCCATAACCTCACCTCATCAACAACCCCATAACCCCAACCTTCACCAACAACCCCACCCCTAATCAACAACTTCGTAACCCCACCCCTCATCAACCCCATAACCCCACCCTTCATCAACAACCCCACCCCACCCCTCATCAACAACTCCATAACCCCACCCTCATCAACCCCACCCTCATCAACCCCATAACCCCAGCCTTCACCAACAACCCCACCCCTCATCAACCCCATCCCTCATCATCCCCATAACCCCACCTCTCATCAACAATCCCATAACCCCAACTCTCATCAACAACCCAATAGCACCACCTCTCATCAACAACCCCACCCCACCCCTCATCAACAACTCCATAACCCCACTTCTCGTCAACCCCATAACCCCATCCCTCATCAACCCCATAACCCCAACCTTCACCAACAACCCCATAACCCCAACCTTCACCAACAACCCCATAACCCAAGCCCTCATCAACAACCCCATAACCCCAACCTTCACCAACAACCCCATAACCCCAGTCCTCATCAACAACCCCATAACCCCACATGCTGGGGTATGTGGTGTGAAGAATGTATGATTGTGATGTGCGTATTGGCGAGGTAATCATCACATCTGTATTCACCATTCCTGGTCTATACCAGTTATCCTCAATCTGCTCAATCTCCCAGCCACTTGCTCCATCTGGAATATCTTGGGAGTAAATGGTTTGACACTTTGTCAGCTGAATGATTCATTGCAGTCCAGCAATTTTCTTTGCACAGCAGGTTGCACAGTTTGCCATATTTCCACTGTAATGTTCTCCTAAAATTTCATGATATTGATCTTGTAATTTCAAGATATTAACCTGAATTTTCAAGTTACTAACTCATTCCGAGGTTGCTCATTATCTTGAAATTTCAAGAATATTTTTTAAAAAAGCAAATGGCGCTTAAAGGCTTCCGTAGAATATAGCATTGTGTACACAGTCGTCGTAAAATGTTTGTCGTCAAAGTATGTGATAAATGTCATGAGGAAAATGTGCAAAACGTTAGGCATGACAATAAGTGATATGTTGATGTTCGTTGTAATAATGATGTGCAATAACAATTATTTTAAATTGATCATCTTGCATTTTTATTTTCTCCATTAATCCACTTTTTTTTTTAAAGACATAACAACTCATCATTATAAATGTGTTTTACTAAATTTATGTATGATTTAAGACATGGTTTTATTCCTTGACATTTGAGAACTATCAATTGTTGTACATCATCTCAAGTTTCATCGTTTTTTTTATCGGTGCATCATAGGCTATTGTATCCCTGTGGTACAGATTTTCGGACGCTTAAGAAATGCAGTTTTCTCTCTAATCACATGAACAAACGTAAAACATCCCATTCACTTTTAAGAGACAATTTTCTCTTAAACACTAGCCATCATCTGAGTATTTACAAAGTCTGTGATTCTAAACACCCCGTTATAGTGCAAGAAAGCGCGATAAACATGGCCGTCCGAAAACGTATGACGTCCAAAAACCTGTGATCAGAAGGTATATATGTCAACACATTGTTTGAGTTAATGCTTTCACCACAGTCTGCTGGCTGAAAAGTTCTAAGCCTAGCTGTGAAAGACCCATACCAAGTCGATGGTTTTCATTTATTTCTCCACATAGTCCCCTTCCAGGTTTACACACTTTTGCCAGCGATGCTGCAAGGCCCGGATGCGGTCAAGAAGAAATTTTCTTCAGCCCCCATAAAAAAAGTCGTGGAAATGACGTCATCATTACTAGGAAAATGGCGACCGGCTAGATCCTTTTTAATTTTGGGAAACAGATGGAAGTCTGACGGGGCCAAATCGGGTGAATAAGTGGGATGGTCAATGAGTTCGAAGCCACAATCATGGATTTGTGAACAGGAGCATTGTCTTGGTGGAACAGGACTCCTTTAGTGAGCTGAAATTTTAACAGGCCATGATATGACAGATCCACTCACTCACTCGACCTGTGAAGTTCCTGGTAGAGAATAGGACTAGGTCTTCAGTAACCCATGCCTGTCTAAGAGACGACCAACATGATCGAGTGGTCAGACTCACTGACTTGCATGTCATCGTATCCCAATTGCATAATCGATACGCATGATGTCAATCACTGAATTGCCTGATCCAGACTCAATTATTTACAGACCACAGTCATGTAGCTGGAATATTGCTGAGTAAAGCGTTTACAAACACTCACTCACTCGTGCAACCAGCATGAAAGAATCAAATCCACTTACAGACTCAACCAGTTTTTTCTGCTCCATAAAAATCCTGTTCACATTGGAGATGTGTCAGCGTTTTTTCCTGTTGTTTGTGATGGTGTGTGTCTGTATTACTACTGTTGTTTGTGATGGTTTGGTCTGTATTACTACTGTTGTTTGTGATGGTGTGTGTCTGTATTACTACTGTTGTTTGTGATGGTGTGTGTCTGTGTTACTGCTGTTGTTTGTGATGGTGTGTGTCTGTATTACTACTGTTGTTTGTGATGGTGTGTGTCTGTATTACTACTGTTGTTTGTGATGGTGTGTGTCTGTATTACTACTGTTGTTTGTGATGGTGTGTGTCTGTGTTACTGCTGTTGTTTGTGATGGTGTGTCTCTGTTACTACTGTTGTTTCTGATGGTGTGTCTGTTACTACTGTTGTTTGTGAGGGGTGTGTCGCCGTTGTTGCTGTGGTATGTGATGATGTGTTGTCTGTGTTGCAGAGCGTACCAGCACACGCAGATGCTCGGCCTGTACCTGTACAACGACGCCCTGGTGGTGACACGACGCACATCCAAGCACTTCCCGTTCTCCCGCGCAGTGGAATACACATACAAGTTTGAAGCTAGCGTGGGACTGACTCGCCTTTCCGTCTCGGAAATCCCCGACTCCAAATGTGAGTACACATATCGGCTCCTGCATGTTCTCAGCATCAGTTTTATCACACACCGCTGTCAATTCTGTTGACGAAATCTGGATTATTGATTTTTTTCACAGATTCTTGGACTTCCCCGCTTTTTTCTGATTCCCCCACAGCTTCATCGGCATCTGTGAAGATGCTACGTTTAGTGTAATTAGTTACACTGTTTGGTATGAGAGTTGCCAGTACAAATTGTCGTGAGATATGCAGTGATCAGTGTCTCACCAAGCTCTCGAAAACTGCGAGTCAACATGACTCACTGCAGATTTTCGATGCGTCATGAGCACAGCTCAGAAAGTAAAGCATCAGTAAGCAAGGTATGCTGACAACAAAAAATAACTTCATGCCAAAAGTTCTTATTTCAGTCTCTATGTTTTCAGAATGAAAGGCAAAATCAACATCAGTGAAATTCTGTTCAATGAAACATTGTGAATGTGATGAAATTTCTCTTACAGTCCCTTGGATCTTTATTTAGGAACTAGTACAGACTGATAAAAATATGCTTCATCAAATATTACTTATTTAAATATGATTTGATGAAAAACACATCAAATATGGGTCGTGTGAACATTTTTTTCCCGACTCCAATTTGCTATCTTTTGCTCTGTGTATGTTTTTTTCCAAAACTTCAAAAAAAAGTTATTTCAAAGCATCATCATGAATCTGCATAGCAGATTCTTACAAAGGTTCGCATGTTGGTTTTTCGATTCATTCTTCAAATGAACCGAAAAAAATCCACAGTCAATCTTGATAATTAAAATCGACAGCGAAAACGTATGTTATCTACAATAGTTATCCACATTTTTGTCTGCTTTGATATATACAACTGTTTTTGGTTTTTGTTTCACTGTGCAGTAACTACTCTCAACTACTAGCTTGTTGTGTGTTCCTAAATCCCTTGTATCCTGTGTTAAATTGCCAACACATTGTGATGTGTTGTTGGGTTTTTGGACAAAAGCCGTTCTGACCTAATCAAGATGAATCATAGATTTGCAAAAGTGTCAGGGTCTGAATAAAATTACTATTTCCCATTACATATGCTAGGAATTATTTGCAATGCTCTGGATAAAAATAGCCAGAAAATGAGATTATGTAATGCCAGCAGATTGCAAAGTTAGTTTTTAAAGTGTGGTTTGAAGTCTGCAGGTTGTCATGACATTTGCAGGATCCTTCTTTGCACTTTTGAGTGTATTACAAATATTTCCGTATCATGAGGGGATCTATCAGCTGATTGGCTGACGCTGACATAAGCTCTAAATCTGTGGAAAAAAATCTATATCTTGTTAGAAGTTCTCATGTTGTAATTCATAGGTACTTTAACATGTTTAACAAAGACTTTAGTGCAGTAATGCTAATCTAAGCATTAAAGGCTAAGTGAAGCACTGGTCACTTCTTGTTTGTTTGTTTGTTTGTTTGTTTGTTGTTTAACGGCGCACTCAGCAATATTCCAGCTATATGACAGGGGTCTGTTAATAATCAAGTCTGGACCAGACAATCCAATAATTGACATCATGAGCATCGAGCCAAGTAATTGGGATATGACAAACATAGTTGCCTTTAACGGCAAGCAGTGGTTGCTGAAGACCTATTCTACCCTCGATCTTCACGGGTCACTAGTCACTTCTACATAACATTAGCTGTAACTGTTTACTGATAAACCATTAACATTATTGTACTGACATTCCTAGCAGACTTGGGAGGAAATAGTGGCCTCGGAGCAAGTCTAGATTAAACCCTGTATACTGGAAATATACATACAGCAATCAGGAGAAAAATATTCTTATAGCACAAAGAAATTTGTAGTAGGTGATCTACACAACCAGTTGACTTTCATTTTTGTGGAAGCCTTGGTGGCTGAGTGGGTTAGATCGCTGACTTTGTGTGCTGGCGGTTTGGTGCATTGTGTATTCACAAATTAAAATTATAATAATGAACGTAAAGATAGGGCATCTTTGATGTATTTAGCACATAATGACAAGGTTTCAATTTTAGAAGTTTGTATCAAAGTTCACAGGGAGTAGGTATATTTCCATAATTTGTAATTCTCCAATTCTTAATAATGTTAAAAATATCCTTTGGTCTCTTTGGTGTATATGAAGCAAATATGGCTCCATATGCATCATATGCCCTGCTGGTGATGGCAATCAGAGTTCTGGAAGGAGAGGTATTTTAGCCGATCCTCAACTTCACCAGGAATTCTGATCATGTTGACTATGTTGGCACCAGTTGGTACCAGTTGACACCAGTTGACACCAGAGAGGACAAGCTTGGACACAGTTACCTCCCTTAGACGTGACAGGTTTTATGGTGTTAGTGGCTGACAGTCAATGCCTATCAAGCTGTCATTGAAGAATGAATTACGACTATCTGGGTGTTCAGTCAGATAGAGTTACCTCCCCTAGACCACCCAATTCAGTCAGGTTGCATTTTTGTGAGATCAGCTGATTTTAGAGTTTTCTTGCCGAGTCATTCCTGGGATAAAGCGAGATTGCTGCCGTGAGTCAGACCAACATGGGCATTGATTTATCAACCTCTGTGACTCACTGCAGCTCGTATCTCGGACAGTTTTATCACAAACACCTACCTGACTGTAATTCTGATGATAAACAGCACCAACAGCCCAAGCTGGAATAGCTAAGCTCGACCCACCTTACTGGGCTTGTTAGGCATTTTCATAAAACTACATGCAGACTTTGTGTCTTGTTACTGGGGCTATTCGATGCAACTTGTGTCTTGTTACAGGGGATATTGGATGTAACTTTGTCTTGTTACAGGGGATATTGGATATAACTTGTCTTGTTACAGGGGATATTGGATATAACTTGTCTTGTTACAGGGGATATTGGATATAACTTGTCTTGTTACAGGGGATATTGGATGTAACTTTGTCTTATTACAGGGTGTATTGGATATAACTTGTCTTGTTACAGGGGATATTGGATATAACTTGTCTTGTTACAGGGGATATTGGATATAACTTGTCTTGTTACAGGGGATATTCGATGCAACTTGTGTCTTGTTACAGGGGATATTGGATGTAACTTTGTCTTATTACAGGGTGTATTGGATATAACTTGTCTTGTTACAGGGGATTTTGGATATAACTTGTCTTGTTACAGGGGATATTGGATATAACTTGTCTTGTTACAGGGGATATTCGATGCAACTTGTGTCTTGTTACAGGGGATATTGGATATAACTTGTCTTGTTACAGGGGATATTGGATATAACTTGTCTTGTTACAGGGGATATTGGATGTAACTTGTGTCTTGTTACAGGGGATATTGGATATAACTTGTCTTGGTACAGGGGATATTGGATATAACTTGTCTTGTTACAGGGTCTATTGGATGTAACTTGGGTCTTGTAACAGGGGATATTGGATGTAACTTGTCTTGTTACAGGGGATATTGGATGTAACTTGGGTCTTGTTACAGGGGATATTGGATGTAACTTGTATCTTGTTACAGGGGATATTGGATGTAACTAGTGTCTTGTTACAGGGGATATTGGATGTAACTTGTGTCTAGTTACAGGGGATATTGGATGTAGCTTGTGTCTTGTTACAGGGGATATTGGATTAACTTGTGTCTTGTTACAGGGGATATTGGATGTAACTTGTGTCTTGTTACAGGGTGTATTGGATGTAACTTGTGTCTTGTTACAGGGGATATTGGATTAACTTGTGTCTAGTTACAGGGGATATTGGATGTAGCTTGTGTCTTGTTACAGGGGATATTGGATTAACTTGTGTCTTGTTACAGGGGATATTGGATGTAACTTGTGTCTTGTTACAGGGTGTATTGGATGTAACTTGTGTCTTGTTACAGGGGATATTGGATGTAACTTGTGTCTTGTTACAGGGTGTATTGGATGTAACTTGTGTCTTGTTACAGGGGATATTGGATGTAACTTGTGTCTTGTTACAGGGGATATTGGATGTAACTAGTGTCTTGTTACAGGGTGTATTCGATGCAACTTGTGTCTTGTTACAGGGTGTATTGGATGTAACTAGTGTCTTGTTACAGGGTGTATTCGATGCAACTTGTGTCTTGTTACAGGGTGTATTGGATGTAACTTGTGTCTTGTTACAGGGTGTATTGGATTAACTTGTGTCTTGTTACAGGGTGTATTGGATGTAACTTGTCTTGTTACAGGGTGTATTGGATGTAACTTGTGTCTTGTTACAGTGTGTATTGGGTGTAACTTGTGTCTTGTTACAGGGGATATTGGATGTAACTTGTGTCTTGTTACAGGGGATATTGGATATAACTTGTGTCTTGTTACAGGGTGTATTGGATGTAACTTGTGACTTGTTACAGGGGATATTGGATGTAACTAGTGTCTTGTTACAGGGGATATTGGATGTAACTAGTGTCTTGTTACAGGGGATATTGGATGTAACTTGTGTCTTGTTACAGGGGATATTGGATGTAACTTGTGTCTTGTTACAGGGGATATTGGATGTAACTTGTGTCCTCTTAGAGGGTGTATTGGTTTAACTTGTGTCTAGTTACAGGGGATATTGGATGTAACTTGTGTCTTGTTACAGGGTATATTGGTTTAACTTGTGTCTAGTTACAGGGGATATTGGATGTAACTTGTGTCTTGTTACAGGGTGTATTGGATGTAACTTGTGTCTTGTTACAGGGTATAATAGATGTAACTTGTGTCTTGTTACCGGGTATAATAGATGTAACTTGTGTCTTGTTACAGGGTATATTGGACATGTTGGATGTAACTTGTTTCTTGTTACAGGGGATATTGGATGTAACTAGTGTCTTGTTACAGGGGATATTGGATGTAACTTGTGTGTTGTAACAGGGGATATTAGATGTAACTTGGGTCTTGTTACAGGGGATATTGGATGTAACTTGTGTCTTGTTACAGGGGATATTTGATGTTACTTGTGTCTTGTTACAGGGTGTATTGGTTTAACTTGTGTCTAGTTACAGGGGATATTGGATGTAACTTGT